GCTGACCTGCACATTTTAGATTCACCAACCTCTGCAACCTCATGGGACAGGAGAAGCCAGCAGCCTGCCACCTGACTGACAGATTGTTGACCAGACTGTTGTCTGGCCTACAGATAGGGGATTTGGTATCCCTCACAATTTGTGAGCCATTTACTCAAAACTGCATGAGCCATTTCTTTGTGATAAATTTATCTTTATTTATATTTATATATGCTTTAGTGGTTTTGCTCCTTTAGAGAACCCAGACTAAGACATCCATCAACAAAGGAATGGAAACAATAAAATGTATAAATAGTTGAATGGAAAATTAATTTGCTTTATGAACTTTCACCCAAACTGCAATAAATTAAAACAAACAAACAAAAAAGAACAACAAACAGCAGAATGGATGAATAAAATGTGATGTGTACACACATATGCTGCTAACCAAAAGGTAGGTTGTTAAAATCAACTCAGTAGCTCTGTTGGAGAAAGACCTGCTGTGCTTTTATAAACATTACAGCCAAGAAAACGTCTGTGTGGCAGTTCTACTCTTTCACAGGGTCGTTATGACTTGGAATCCACTGGCTGGCACCAACAACGGCAACAACATATACAATTATTCAGTTATAAAGAGAAATGAAGTTCTGACACATGCCACAACATAACGAGGGTGTGACAGAAGACGGGAAGAAAAAGTCCAATGCTGTAGGATTCTATGATTAAGAAATATCCAGAATAGGCATGTCCATCAAGACAAAAGAAGATGAGTGGTTTCGAGGGGCATAGTGAAAGGAAAAGCTCTCCACAGCACAGCAGTGCAATATACGACCTGTCTTGGGCTAGTGCGCATCTGCCCCATGGTGGAATCTATTATCAATGTGGGTCTTTAAGGGTGATGCCTTCCTTCAAAAGGGAAGTTGAGCCACTCATGGTGGCCTGAGCCAGAATGCTGTTGTGGCAGATGACATGGAAACTGAAGGGCCACTCAGTGAGAAAGCTGGATGACCCAGGGAGCTAGCCCACATTGTTCCCATGGTGGACAAACAAGGCTATAAACATCTGGATGGGCCCATAGGGAGTGACTTTCTGGACCCCAACCTCATGGCATGTGATCTGTGCTCACATGCTTGGTTTCATGCTCTGCTGTCTCCATGTTAGCATTTCCACAAAGAGCCCCACATGAGGTAGCCTGTCCTGTTCTGGAAGAAATTCATTCTTATCAGGACTTGGGGCTGGAAAAGACTTTGAGGCAAAGCCTGACCATGAACTACAGAATGCATAAAGTCCCTGGCAGACTCTTAGCAGAGTAGCAGAAGGTTGAGACCTTCAATCTTTGCACAGAACCATATCTGAGTACAGGTCACAGCCCCCACCTGTCCCCTGGTAGCACACCCTGGAAGGCAGATTCTATTTGGGCCCACAGTAGCACTGCTAAGGCTTACTCATGCATTTATACTTTGGGTAACTGCAAGTCTTACTCCATGGGGTAGATGTAAAACTCTCGACAAGTCCTTCTGTTGCCTTCAAGTCTTGAGTTCAAGGCCCTCCAGGTATTACTGTATTTGAAAGCTGAGCCTTCAAGCAGTATCTTCCCTGGGAGATCCTGGTGTGGAAAATAAACACAACGAGAGAGCTTGCTTCTTTAGAGAATGCACACTTCTTTCCCATGACACATCACTGGGAGGAAAGAGTTTTAAGAATCACCAAAGAGTGTCCCAGCCCACAGAGGTTATAGTTGGGGTCTAGGGTGCCAGGGACACTTCAGAGCCCAATCCCAGCCTCATAAAACATGGCTCACGGAGAAGCAAGAGGGGATGACATGAAGTGAGTGTTCACATGTTTGTTTTAGGAATTGGATAAAAATAACAGAGTGAGGGCAGCAGGGTCAGGTGAATTTTTTGAAGATAGGGGAGATTAGTCTTGTTATGTGGAGGCAAAAGGGAGGGACCGGGGGGCTAAAAGACAAGTTAGATCGACTCTTTAATGATTAACTTAAGGAGGATACTCTATCTTCCAATTAAATTCTATTTTGCTAAGTGGCTCTGTGATAAGATAATGTGACGGAAACCCATATAAGCAGCATAGCCTGTGGAGAATACCAATGGCTTTGGCTTCTGCTATGATGGCTGAGGGACACTGGTTTCCCCTTTCAATCCTCATGGGACTCCTACTCTTGCTGTGTGTTGGGCCCTGGGTCGAAGGCGGGAAGGTGCTAGTGACACCTGTGGAGGGCAGCCACTGGCTCAGCATGAAAAAGGTTGTGCAGGATCTCCACGCCAGAGGCCACCAGGCAGTTGTCCTTGCACCCGAGGTGAATATGCACATAAAAGAAGAGGACTTCTTCACCCTGAAAACCTATGCCTTTCCATACACCCAGGATGAACTTCAGTCCTTCTTTGTACATCTGAGTCACCTGGTTTTGGAACCTGAACATTTTCTGATGACATTTTTTTAAAATAATGACAATTATGAAAAATACGTCTGTGATCCATCAAAGGTCATGCAGAGAGCTTGTGCACAACAAGACTGTGATCCAGTATCTGAATGAAAGTTCCTTTGATGTGGTTTTAACCGACCCTGTTATCCCCTGTGGGACAGTGCTGGCTGAGTACCTGTCAGTTCCTGCTGTGTATTTCTTGCGTTACATTCCATGTGAATTGGATTTTGAGGGTACACAATGTCCAAGCCCATCTTCGTATATTCCTAGGCTATTAACAAGGAATTCAGACCACATGACGTTTCTTGAAAGGGTCAAGAACATGCTCTACCCTCTGGCACTGAAGTACATCTGCCATATTTCTTTTGCTCCGTATGCCAGCCTTGCCTCTGAGCTCTTGCAGAGAGAGGTGTCTGTGACAGACATTTTCAGCTAT